TTAGGGGAGTCTGTGCTAAGTTAGTAAACCAGCTTTCCAGAGTCAGGCGTTGAAAGTAGTCAGTGCTGTAGGTTAGGCATTGCGCAGAGTCCCAGTCGATATTGTGGTTCGTAAGTGGATGATTTTCAGCAATGTGTTGACATCACCTTTCCTCGTCGCCCGTCTGTGTTCAGTCAGTCTTGTTGTGAGGTCTCTGTCAGTCTCTCCGATGTAGGAGGCTTGGCAGTCGGAACAATTGATCTTATAAATCGCTCCCTGTCTGTTCCTCGGTTCGACACCGCAACTCCTACGACTACAACAACCAAACCGTACGTGAAAAGGCATGTCTGAGACCATCTCGCGCATTTTACAGCCCGTGAATGAGTTTGCAGTCGTTGGTTTTTAGTCTTGTCACTCAACACTTCATGCCACCCTCCTAAAGAGCACAAACGTAAAGTTTTCGTAGCACCTTTCCTTTTTAGAACAGCATTTGTTAAGCACATCAAAAATGCATTTCTTTGTTATTGTGGAAAGTGTACAAGCCAAATAGTTACATGAATTGTTCTTTTCGACCGCCCCTCCTATCTCAAAGGGGAAGACATTTTAGCGGATTGTTCTGAGCTTAAAAAGACTGACTAGCGCTAAATTTGCCGTTCCTTAAACAAGTTGCGTGACTGAAAATTAATTGTAAGTTACTCAACGGTGCACTGAACCGTGACTCAAATGTTCAGCTTTGCCCAGCTTACGTCAATCACTTCTGTGTAGAATCTCGTACAATTTGATGCAATTTACAGCAAATGAACAAAGACAGTATTTTGTGGATGATCGAAAGTTGCATTGATCTGTAGCCAGAGATTGGTTAGCACCATTGTTCGACAGGCGTGAATAATCCAATTTAGATCAAATATGGCAGCACGAAACAATTAAAGAAGTAAAGACATGTTATGTTATAACAGAGAAAGCGAATGTGGGCAACAACATTAACGATAAGAGAGCTTGCCAGATCAGTGAAACGCTAGCACAAAACAGGTACTGACTAATATATAAAGCTTCTTAGGAGCTGGTAACGTATTAGTTCGGAATAATTTCATGTTAGTTTTGGGAACATCATTCTAAAGCTATGACGCGAAAAATTTACTGGAAACGGTACAAAAATCAAATGTTTCGCTGTAATTTAAGATTAGGTCGGACACGCCGAATCTCCTATCGTTCTGTCGTCGATGCAACGCTTGTTGGAATTTTAGATTACACGGAAGTCACGCATGTGGTTGTTTTTTCGCTTCACTGATGTGTTTTTTTGGTTTGTTTGTTTGTTGTTGTTGCTGTTTGTATCCTGGAGTATTTTAGGGTGGTCGTGATTTAAATGCAATTTGTTTAAGTCCCCGAATATTACATTTCGTTCATGGCTTTGTTTTAGCTTTCTTCCCCTGTGAATTAAGATCATTATTTATTTATGGTTGAGAGTTATTCAACTTACTCGCGCTGTGGTTACTGTAATATTTACCTTTAACGCTCGCATTTTGTCAAACGAGTTTATGATACCCCTCATTATTGCTAATGAGGTCAGTGAAAGAAAATTGTTTTCAAACTCAAAAGTTTATTTAGTTTAGCTGAAGAAGCAACCTAAGTGAAATGAGGTTCTTTTCGTCGCAAGGTTGAAATGGACAGTTTTTAAGTCCTAAAACTTGTCTTTACCGTAACAACAATACATTGTAGTGATGTAGTAAACGCTTGACTATCGCAAACAGTGAAATTCCCATGGTATAAAAACACAACTGAAACCGCACGGCTGGGTACCGAGTGTGGCGTAAACATGAACGAAATAATTTTCTTTGCCTCCAAGTTCAAATGACCAACTTTGAAGTTAAGTAAACAATCCAACTGACTAGAAACTCAGTTTATTAAAATAAATAACACCCTTGACAGTTCAAGGCAACTGACAGTTTCCTTCAGTTCGTGACACTTTGAGACACTCGTGAGACGATTTGAGACACTCGCGAGACGCTTGGAGACACTCGCGAGACGCTTGAAGACAGTCGCGAGACGATTTGAGACACACGCGAGACGCTTGGAGACACTCGCGAGACGCTTGAAGACACTCGTAAGACGATTTGAGAGACTCGCGAGACGCTTGGAGACACTCGCGAGACGCTTGAAGACACTCGCGAGACGCTTGGAGACACTCTGAGACTCTTTGAAGTGCAACCCGCACAAGTAAACTCAAACCGACAAATGTTGGCTTGTGAGAGTGCAATTTTTGCTTTCAATCTGGCACAACCCGCACCAATATTGAAGCCGTAATGGTGCAAAATTCAACAAATCAAATTGCTGCCAACATCAGCATTTATTATTCAGATCAAAGATAACATTTGTTCAAATTCAATAGCTAATATCAGTATCAACACTCCAAACACACTAAATCCAACAGCCAAAGTAATTCAAAATCAACACAAATTCTCCTTCCAGGCTGTGAGCTTTCGTTAACCCTTTTGTTTTGCTGTCTAAAAATATAAATGAGTAAAAGGTGTTGACAGGCCATTGCCGCCAATTCGCTACCTCGCGGCGGTGTGATACGTGACCTTACTAATGATTGACAGGTCACAGCCTCGTACTAGTGTGAAATTATGACCCAAAGGTTTTTCGCTTTTTTTGTCGATCGTCGAGAAAATTTATCTCCAAGCGTAATTAAATCTCGAAATTCTGTCATCATTTGACCTGTTATTCAGTGGACAAAAAGCATTACGTTAATGCACACACTTCCCCTTATTTTTTTGTTTTTGGTTTTCTTTTTTTGCCTTTTTCTAAAAAATCTTCATTTGCTTCATTACAGGGATAGTTCAGTAGCTCATTGTAGGTCATTGTGTCATTTAGGTCATTCCTTGTTTTCGTAACTGCGACGTCGGAATAGTCGAAATTGTAACTTTACATTCACTTCTCAGTACCCTTCTCGCGAAATTGATTTTTCTCAAGGCACGTCAGAATAGTTCAAATTGTAACTTAACATTCACTTCTCAGCACCCTTCTCGCGATTGCAAACCAAAACTCACAGCCTGGACACCTCAGTTTATTGAGAAGAACATGATTTTTTAATAAGCAGAAAATTTGACAGCCATAGTGTCGTTTCTAAAAGATTAAAAATTCGCGTTGTTTAACTCCTGCCGCGTAACTAAAATTTAAAATTTTCTTCATATTTTCGGACATTAAATCTGTAACGCATTCTGAAGAAGTAAATCAGTTCCATCTATTGACCATGTACCATAGTGGTGCATATTCTCCTTCTTGGTTGTTCTTTAATTGATTGTTTAAAATCATCATTTTAAATAACTTATCTTAAACGAACTAGGGTTGCTGCAAAACATTAAAAAAGGGGATGGAAAAGATTCGGGTCTGGTTTTCAGGTCTTCGTTTTCGGGTCTGCGTTTTCGGGTCTGCGTTTTCGGGTCTGCGTTTTCGGGTCTTAGGTCTTCAGTCTTCGTTTTCGGGGGTCTTTCGTTTTCGCTACAACCATGAAAACATGAGTCCCAAGATCTCTCGGTCATTGCTAGTCGCTCGTACCCAAACTTTTGAACGTGATTTGTTGTTGAACTTGAAGCTTTGTGCCGTGTTGGTTTTGACGTGATTCACTAGGGTTGCAGA